CATATCAACGGTGAGATAAGGATGCTGACGCCTTTAACCGCTTCAAGATTATGAGTTTTGGACTGGTCCACGAGGGGAATGCATTTCGCAAATTTACCCCTAATTTTAGTTTATGTTTACTTTTTCATTTTCGGTTTTATCTTATTACGAAAAGTCTCATTTAAAAAGATAATAAAACGTCCAATCAGAGAGACGATTTAATACTAAAACTTGGTTTGTATTATAAATACAATTATATTTATGGTGAATGTCTATATTTAGAGAGATTTTAGGGTTCATTGCTTGGTGGCTAAGCCACTATCTCCCTATAAATAGAGAGGTTTTATTCCCATTGTAATTCACTCCAAATCAATAAGACTCCTCTCTCTCTACTTTTCTCTACAATAGTGTTCTTCTTCTTTTATTATTTTATAACACGTTATCAGCACGACACTCTAACCAATTGAGTAGAAGCTTTGGGATTGAGCATAATGATTGTTAATTATTCCATGAACTTCCTTCATGATTAAATTCTGGATTTAAGGTAAGTATTTTACCGTATTTTTCTCTTTTATTCTATACTTTGATTTTAAATGCAAGCAAAGACAACAAAGTTTGATTATAACTCTAATGGAGTTTGTAAGAAATTATAACCACCTGAAGTGGTAAAAGTTTCTATGTCTTGCCATGATCAAATTCATGTATGATTATGGGCACAAAAAGTGGAAACCCGTCCTATTGAATTGCTCCATTCTTATTCCCTTAAGAGAATGTGATAGCAGTATGTGATAAGTCTGAAAGAAGATAAAATTATCACTATGAATGTATCAATGGATGTGGACGTGGCAATAGACGAAATTATAATCGTCATCATTGTGATAATGAGAATAATAAGGATTCTCAAAATAATCCCCCACTTGTGAAAATACTTGTCATCGATTTGACATGAGATTTTATAAAGCACATATAGATGATTATGGTCTATTCATGATATGAATGTGACAACATCTGATTTAAGAATACATATTCATTTTCGGAAGAATATGAGCGTGCTAGTGGTATATACCACACTCACCTCTAGAAGGAGGTTTGAGATGATATAAGAAAATAATGTCATTATTATGGCATGAATGGTCATTGGTCACGTACCTATTGTACGCCAAAATATTTTGGCATTGTGATTATTAAAAGTCAACGGTAATGCAAGAAACAGATCTTGCATATAATTTTGACCATAATCGTAATGGTATAACTTTCTCTTTAAAAGAGATATTCACCATATGGGTGTTGATGAATATGTGGTACTACAAAATTAATTGAGAACTCTGCAAGAGCCAATTATACTATTTTGGAGAAACACAATTAATTACCAATAAGGTATTGTGTTGTAGTAAGTCTCAAAGAAACTTATTCTGTTTTCAAAGTATACGCGAAAGCGGTTGATTATATTGAGACTATAAATAAAGGAAAGATTTAATATCTTCTATTACTACATCTTGTAGCGGAGTAATATGTATGTAAAAAGCTACCCACTTTATTCTCTAATTTGTACTACATAAACAAAAGAATACCACAATGAAGTGGATATTTATGATATGGAGTATTTATTCATAATTGCACACATCATGGTGTAAACCTGAAGTTTATCAATATTGATAATTTATCCAATTGGCATACTTGGTTTAGCCATGTTAATTCATGTACGATGTGCAAAAATAAAAGAGAATTTACATGGGTAAATGTTAAAGAACTAGAATGTTCTTTACGAATTATCTTATGTTGCTTGTTCTCATTAATTAATAGATCAACTAAAATTGGGATTGAATCCCATGAATGCTGGAAATATCAAAGGTGAATATGGGCCCATTCACCTGCCATGTATACCACATAAGATGCATCTATGAGATGGTTACATGTGCGATTATTATTAACCCGCAACATGGTGTTTGCGAGGTAACTTGCTCAATAATTTAATTTAGAGCATATTCCAGATTTTCTATTCAAGAAGTTCATCTTGATAAGTTGGTCTACATCACAGCTGGTTTAGCAAAATAATTTATTGAGTGCCTCCACTTAATAGCTAAACAATTGCTTATGAGAACAAAGTTTTATATATCAGTTTGATATACGTTATATACGAAAGTATATTAATTTCTCCCCAAACAAGTGGTTCATGGTCAGGAACCAAATAATTCCATCTTATTATTATTGATGTGCGGTGTATATTTTGATTAACACCATAACGCACAAAGATGAGTTCTCAAAGTTGAGTAAGCAAGTTAGTTTTTCTAACATGAGGGGAAGCCAAGATACAACAGTTGAGAAAAAGTTACATGGAATGAATTATCATTTATACATCTAGATCCTCGAATAAGATAATATGAACTTGAAGTTCATAAAAGGATAATTCAGTTGCAATATATTGCAAAGCATGCTAGACGCATTTGCTGACCCAAAGAAAGTAACTATATTCTCATTGCAAATGCTCCTATTAACTCCTAGAAGGACAAAGTCTATGGTACGCTTGAAGAGTATAGACAAATCGGTTTCAAATAAACTTCTTGATAAAGAAGATGACCAAATGATCAAAATGATCATAATAAAAGGAGGCAAGTGATCTAGAAGATCACATGACATAACACTTCATAAAATCTCATGAGAGATTCAGGTACCTGAAAATATGAATGAAGAGATCTCTATGTTATGTCTTTATGAAAAAATATTGAAACTGATATAAAATGTTTGTCGACGACATCTATGATAGCGCTAAATATATATATGAGGATCTTAAGTCTAGAGAAACAATTCAAATAGAATTGGTTTCATATGAAAGATATGTACTTTTGGACATGTAGTTCAAACACTTGAAAGTATAAAGTCAATGATATGTGCAATCAGTTTTCGGTATCTTATATGTCTAGCATGACATGAAAACTTGATATGCATCTAAAGTCTATTATATGGCTTATATGACTTAACAATCCGTGAAGGATTTAAATTGCTTAAAGCATATAGAATTCATGGTCATGAAGTACTACATCCTCAATGCAATTTATGCACAAATGTATCTTGCTATAACTATAAGCATGATAATGTGATAGCGAGGATATCTCTATGGAGATATTGAAGAGCCATTCTACGATATTTATGAAGACATTATATCTCTATCAAGAATGATGATTTCAAGGTGCAATATATTCATTCAAGTTAATATGGCTGATTTGTTTATCAAATATCTACCAAAGATCTTTTGAAGATGGTGCACAAGATTGGAATGCAAATGCTTAAGGATGTGAATTGATGCTCTCATGAGGGGGAGTTAATACGCGTTGTACTCTTTTTCCCTTACAAGGTTTTGTCCCACTGGGTTTTCCTTGCAAGGTTTTTAACGAGGCAACCAAAAGGCGTATTGTTAGATATGTGTACTTTAACGAGGCACATTATCTGTTGAATAGACATTCAAGGGGGAGTGTTATAAATACAATTATATTTATGGTGAATGTCTATATTTAGAGAGATTCTAGGGTTCATTGCTTGGTGGCTAAGCCACCATCTCCCTATAAATAAAGAGGTTCTATTCCATTGTAATTCACTCCAAATCAATAAGACTCCTCTCTCTCTACTTTTCTCTACAATAGTGTTCTTCTTCTTTTATTATTTTATAACAGTTTGCCTTAATTACTACTTCAACTTGTTTTTAACTAGACATAAATGTAATGTGTAACCATTCGTGCATTAAGCAACTAGTAAAATGTTTAGATTTTAAGTATGTGTTCGGTTCAAAATATTGATGAATGAAAATATATTCGTTCCCTTATACATTTAATTTTTGAAAAATTCACATTTTGGGCACATTAGTGCATGGATAACATTGAGATTATTTTAGAGATAAGGAACAATTCACTAACTCATCACAGTAAAAATAGTATGTCAATCATAAGTGATAACTCACATGGAAAGTAAAGAAAGCATAAATTTCATTCTACGAGGGTGTTTGGCTAAGCTTATAAACTGGTAAAACTGGCTTATAAGCACTTTTTGGCTTATCTACACGTTTGGTAAACACTCTAACCCAAGTGCTTATAAGCTAAAATCAGTCAAGTCATAAGTTGGTCACCCCCAACTTATGGCTTTTTAACTTATAAGCACTTTTAGTTTGACCAAGGCTTTTACTAATTTATCCTTAATAATATTTTATAATTCACAAAATTTTATTCCCAATATAAATTTTCTAACTTTTTTTCATTCCATATCCGTTGTTCATCTTTTTCTTTACAAAGAAACTTTTTAATTTATAATCTTTTGTAAAGTTTTTTAAGGATATTTTAGTCATTTTAATAAAAAAATAACTTATCAGCACTTTTCTGCCAAACACGTCAACTATTTATTATCAATTTCAGCACGTCTATCCAAACACGTAAATGCTTATTTAAAATATCAGTTTCAGCACTTAAAAATGTTTTTCAGCTATTTACAATCAGCTAATCCAAACGGGCTCTATAACTGTATTGCATTTGAAATGAACATAAAAATTGAGGTCTCGTATCAAAACCTATTGTATATTTGCATAACTTAATTAATTAAGGATCACATATCAAACGGTCAATTTCATACTGATTTGGAACCTATTGTGATTTACTCCTTTGATCATTCATCCAAAAACATAGCCAAAATGGAGGCGCCTGTTTTAGAAGATAAATTAATTAGGTTCCTGCCTACATTTATGATACTGCTATCTTAATATGACAAAAGGAGATTTTAGAACTTTTACCATGCAATATATATCAGATTACAGAATATTTCATTTCTTGAATGTATATGAGAACTTTCATTTATATTTATATACTAGTTTTCGGAATTGCACGTGTATCTCATATCAGTAAGTACAAATTTTTTAATAAAATGAAAGATTACCAAAAAAATTCCTAACAATTTGTTTAAAATACTAAAAAGTAGAGATGTAGTTGTCACGGTGTAAGATCAAATGTCAAATATGAAAAGACTAATCCAAATAACTTATAAACTGTTTTGTAAAGTAAACCTTCATACTGTAGTGTTAAACATAGATATATGCAGATGTAAAATTGAAAGAAAAATGATTAACTTCACATACATGAGGACAAGAATGTACAAACTATTTACACCACTTGCTACCTATCACAACGACACTTCATCAACTTGGTATACATTACAAAACCGTATAAAATGCAGCTCTTAGCTACATAACTCGGCAAACTTTATCTTAGTCAACACCTAAATATTCAAAAATCACTCAAAAGGAAGAAAAAAAAAGTTAGAAAAATCAGCTTAAATTGATTTATGAAACTCAAAGAACAGTGAAAGATTGTCCATATATAGAAAATTACCTTCACCCAGGTGAAACAGCAAACTGAGATAATCATTTTCGCCAAGCACAATTTTGGAGTTTGATGCTTCTGCTGCCTAGGTATCTTTGGGCCTTTTAATATTGGTTACTCTTAAAACTCAAAATAAATGCGTCATAAATAATGAAATGAAGAAGAGAAACTGAAACGCCTATAACTTACTTGGATGAAATAAATAAAATAAAAGAAGAAACTTAAAAGTCATTCTTTCATCCATGAACTGGTAGCAAGCGCTTTTTTACTCAAAGAAAAGAAAAGGCAAACCTAATACAGTGTATATAGTTTCTAGTATTAACTGAAGGAAGTTATTTACCTGAATTCATTTCTATTTGAAAAAATGCATGCACATGTATACAGAATTAATGTAGAATTTATATTGATTATAGGAGTTTATAGTGTTTGATTAAGGGAAAATAGTCACTCGGTTTTTTATGGATATTTTTGTAATTTAACTTTTAACATAGAGGCTTCTTACTTTTAGTATAATAATATAATATATATATATATATATATATATATATATATTGATATGATCGATGATTTTGCCTTTAGTTATTTTTGTTATAACTAGTTTTAGTGTACGTGCGTTGCACGTATTTTTTTACGTCTATTAATAAAAAGGGAATAAAATTGAGAATAAGAATGAATTGTGTGCAATACCAATTGACGTCGAGATAAATGCAATATTTATTTAAATTAAAAATAAATGTTACATTGGCGAAATTGTTGAACGTAGAGTTACTGGGTATCTTCTGAACTTGCAAAGATTAAGAATCTATGTACGTTAATTATATAACTTTTGTATTTATATATATTTTTATGAAGATAATATGATATATTATGTTTTGTATCTGACCTAATATCTCTTTATATACAGTGTTCTTGGAGTAAAAAGTACTACTCAAGTATTAAGTATTATGTATACCATATAGTATGTATAATTATCCTTAGTAAAGTGTTCTAAACTATATGCTTTTTTGGATTTAGTCAAGGTTGTTCGACTGAGTGAACAAATTATGATAAAATTTTCTTCTCTCTTATTAATTAGTATATTTATCTCCATCTTCAAGTTTGATCTTCCCTCCTCTACTATATTTATTTTATTTTTATGCTTCTAATGATTTAAGGCACGTTTAATGAATATAATTTCCTTTTGTTTTCTTCACCTGCCAGGCTCCTTAAAATTTTAGATTTTAATAATCTTTAGTGGCTTAGAATTGAGAATATTCTTCAGACATGCTCATTGTCACTACCCAATTTCCACTATAGATCGTGATGGCGCACAACGTCGCCGCTAGGCAAGCCAACTGTGAACTTTCTATTTAATTTCTCATTTTAATATTTTTAAAGTCTTTGATTCTTTTATTTAACATGAGAAAAAATAAAAAGTGAGCACAGTAATGTAAAGCATAAACTAATCGGGAAAATAAGATAGTGAATTAATAATTAAAACCCATGAGTGTCTACTAGAATTCCCAAAACTCGATGTCACAAGTGCACGAGCGTCTAATATAATATATAAAACTCTCTAAGAACTATTGTCTGAAACAAAATAGACAGAAATGATAAAAAACATAATAAGAGAAGACTCTGGGTGCTGCAGAACAGAGCATGGAAAAAATAGCTTACCACTAAGCCTCCGGGTATGCGGATACGCGCCCGGACGAACTCCAGATGCACCTGCCTTAGAACCTGCACAATATGTGCAGAAGTGTAGCGTGAGTACGTAAACAACGTGTACCTGTAGCACCTCCTTTTTTACCCGAAAAGGGATATAAGGGAGTTTTTTCAATTAAAGTGACAATAATTGAAATGGGATTATTTATTAGATCAGAGTCGCCACTTGGGATAATTTATGGTATCCCAAGTCACCGATTTATTTTTAATCCCAAGTCTAGGAAATTTGACTCTTATTTATGGTCTGTGAACACAGAAGACCAGGTAAGGAATTTTATTAACCCGGGAGAAGGTATTAGGCATTCCTGGGTTCCGTGGTTTTAGCACGGTCGCTTTAATCATACCTGACTTAATTAAATTGTTTAATTACGTATTAGAACCTGCGTGCCCTTTTCATTGTACCGCTTTAAATTAAGAAATTAACCTGAAACGAGTCACGCGTACGTGTACTCATTTCGTTTGGCGCGTCAAGAATCATGTCACGCGTACGTGTCCATAATTAATCACGCTTTATTATTATTAAGAAAGTTTGGCCGAAGTTGTGCAAACGCATACCTCGATTTATTTTAGAATCATAATTATGCCACGCGAACGTGTTCACAATCAGGATGATAGATTAAGTCGCGCCTAGAGCAAGCTACGAATATTTATTTTAGAAACCGTAATCATGTCACGCGAACGTGTACATAATCACGATAATAAATTCAAAACGCGCCTAAAGGTTCGCCTACCCGGGTGTGGTCGACCTAAACATGCTTCTAGCGGACAAGGTTATAAAAATAAAGTAAATAAAGCAAATAAACAGACTCATTTCCAGCCCAATTTCTTTTGGTTGTCTTAAAATATTCAAACCCTGGCCCCAAATCAATTTTAAACCAACGACTCCACAAATCCAAACTGCATGATTCCTTGATGCCTCATTCTTTCAGTTCAATTCAAAATAGCCTGCTTGTCCGTAATTAATCAACAAACCAAGCCAACAAAGAAACTAATATAAAACATCAAATGCATACAATTGGGGTAAACTAACATCAAATTGGAATCTCATTCTATGTCAAGACACATAAGGAGGAACAGTGAAGATTAATTAAAAAAAATAAAGTTAAGAAATGGACCTCAATGAATGCAAGATCTCCAATGTTAGCCAACTGACCAGAAAAAATGGACTGCGATTGGAAATAAGATGATAAGAGCTAGACCCGGACCTCGAACGGGTCACCTGTAAATTGGATTGGCATCGCCGGCACTGAAATTGCTTTCCAATTAACAGAACTTCAGCAACTATGAAAACTGAAAATCGAACTTTCAATTGATGAATTTTCCAGTAATACACGGACAAAAATCGAGCGAACGCTATAACAAACTCGAGACAGCAGTCAAACTCAAACGGGTTCGAGAACCGCACTGCGAACAACACCTCGAATCAAGACCGAAAATCAAACTTGAACCTCACATAACTCCATTTTTTAGAAAAATCAGAATTGAAGATGAAATTGAAAATATTTTTTTTGTATATATTTTCTGGAACACAAATCCTAGCTAACTCAAAATAGAAACATCATTTTTTGAAATATGAAAGAAACAGAAACAGAATTCTCAGATCTGTTTTCGCGACCTCTTGTCGCTGCCCTCTCGCGCGGCTTCTGCTGGTTTCGAAGAGATGAGGGTCGGTGGCTGTGAAGATTCTCGGCAGCGGAGATGAGGTGGTGTGGACGACTGGTGCGGCTGTGTTCAGTCGCCGGTTTCAAGTGATGGGGCTGATTGGGGTGAAGAGGGGACGGAGTTTGGATGGCTCAGGCTTAGGGACAGTTAGGGTCTAGGTTAGAGTGACGATGGAGGGGTCTGGTGGGTGGTTGTTCCGGCGATGGCTAGTTGTTGTGGTGGTCCATTGACGGCTGGAGATGGTTGGCTGTTTTGTATGTGTAGAAGAGGGTGGACAGCTGCTTAGGGTTAGTTCAGTGTTCTAAGGTTCTTTGATGTCTAGGGTTTTTTGGTGTCTTCAGGTTGAAGAAGAAAGGTGGAGATGTCTTGTGTGTGAGAGGTGAGGAGGTGGCCGGCGGCTGAAGGTGGTTATGGAGATTAGGGTTTTTGGTGTTGTGTGTATTAAGGGTGAAGAAGAAGAAAGTGAGATGAGGGGAACGACTGGGGGTCTCTAGGGTTAGGGATCCCTTTTTTTTTTTTTTTTTTTTTTTTTTTCTTATGTGATATAGAGGGGTTTTGGGTATAGGATTAGCTGGGCTTGGGGTTAATGGGCTAAGGGATCCGAAAATAGGCCTAAAAAATGGGTTGTTTTAGCCCAAATTTGACTCTGTCTCCTTGAACAAGACTAAAAATACTACACCATTTACTAATTAATCCTACTTAAGTAAAATAACTATTAAAACAAAATTAACCGTTAAAACAAACCTATTTTTGGTATTTTTTCAAATATCACACTAAAAGATAAAAATGGAATTAGATTAAAATCATTGCAAAATTAAAATAATATTCCTGAAAACAAAGTGGAACTATTTTTGTATTTTTAAATTTTGTGTAAGGTAGATAAATTAAAAGTAACTAGATAAAATACTAATTAGCTAAATAAAAGAAAATATTTTTGTAATTTTCATTTTTGTGATAAAATAAAGTAGAAGAGTCAAAACTATTTAGAATAGCGATACTAAACCTAAACTAAATATTTACGCTAAGATGTGTAAAATCTTGGGGAGAGTCAAAAATTACATGTCTACAGTACCCAGTAAGTATCTAGTCTAACTTCGAAGAAGTAGTGAGGAAGGTTTGACATCGACACATAATAGTGGGCCATATACACAATGTACAAGGATATTATAGGCATGAAATACAACATCAATAGCGGGATAAGAGGCAATAATTAAACGATCCTTTAACCAAAATAACAATTAAAAGTCCCCAAATATAACATGCTAATCTCAACAAGTAAGGACTCAACATGTATTTATAAATCCTCAAGTCATAAAAGACATATCAGGTATAAATGGACTCCGAGTGACAACACATACGAGTTATGCCGACACCGTACGACCTGATCCACAATAATCTTGTACATACACTACCGAGGTCGTACGGCCCGATCCATGCCGAAGTCGTACGCACGTGTGTGTGTGTATTGTTTGTGTATGTGTGTGTGTGTGTGTGTATATATATATATATATATATATATATATATATATATATTACCGAGGCGTTCGGCCCGATCCACAGGAATAGGAAAACTCTTCGGATTTCGAATTGCATATTTACTACTCCAAGGTAAGCCCAGAAAATAATATAATTTTCATCAATAATTAAACATTCCGCCAACTCTCTAAGTAATGAATCTCGATTTAACATAATCTTTAACCAAGTTTTACTTATAAAATACAAGATATTAAACTAGCGAGTTGAGTCCAAATAGTGAAAGTAGTGGCATAATAAAGGCCTATGTCTACCCGGACATAACATGAATTTTAGCTACACACAGACGCTCGCCACTTCGTGCGTACGTAACACCTACAATTTGTATCAAATAACAATTTAAAATACCTATGGGGTTAATTCTCTCTTACAAGGTTAGGCAAGAGACTTACCTCGATCCCAAGTCCACTTTCCGGTCCACAAATCGCTCTAAAAGCCTCAAATTGGTGCCGAACAATGTGAAACCGTCACGACCCAAAATCTAACTAGTCGTGATGGCACCTAACCTCACCCGCTAGGTAAGCCAAATAATAATAATCCGATTCAAAGGAGATTTAACTGAGAAACTAAAGATAATATAACTGAGTTTATTACACTTCCCATGGACTGGTAGTACAAATCATGCACTTCTAAGATTCAGAATTTACAAGGATTGTATGAAATAAAATACATTATCTATTTGAAATATACGTGAACAGGCTAATAATTCTAAAGCTACCAAGAACAAGAGGCAGTTAAGACTGGATCGCAGGTATATCTTCAATGCCAGCTCTCACCTTACGCAGCAACATCAGCATCCAAAATCTGCACGCAAGGTGTAGAAGTGTAGTATGAGTACAACCGACCCCATGTACTCAATAAGTAACAAACCTAACCTTAGGTTGAATGTAGTGACAAGCTTGGACAACGGTCAGAGTCCAACACCAACTGTCAGGAAACAACTCAGAACAATATAAATAAAACAATACAAGTAATAACTCAAGATATGATGCTCTGCTCGTTCACAATTCCGAAAAATAGGCATTTTTTCTCCAGAAATGATAGTAAAACACAGCTCTTTTCACCAAATAACCAAAAATATGAGTAAGTCTGAAAACTGTGATTTTTCCCAAAACTTTCAACATCAGATAAAAATTTCATTATCAGATGGCATGAGGAAAATTACATCTCTATGCCTACATGTCAATGTGCATGCCAATGCAATGCAACATAGTGATAAAATCATATGCACGCTCTTTGAGTAGAAATCTTACTCAACACGCTCAATCACTCAATCCTCACAATCATTCATTCCTCACAGTCAACTCATTCTTCACTGTCACTCAATCCTCCCAATCACTCAACACTATCACTCAGTAGGTACCTGCGCTCACTGTTGGTGCGCAGACTCCGGAGGGGCAGATCCAGCCCATGTGCTATAATAAGCAAATTATGATATGAATCAATAAAACATGTTACGGCGTGCAGTTCGATCCACATAAATATCCTCACAATCAGGACCTCGGCCTTACTCAGTCATTAATCTCTCTAGTCTCTTGGGCTCAAAAATGTCATAAAAATCAGCCCAAAAATGATGATATAATGTGTCAATGAATAGCAACAGAGACTGCGATATAATATGAAATGAATGAATATGACTAAGTATGAAATTACAAGAGACTAAGATATGATATGAAATGAATGAATATGACTGAGTATGAAATTATAATTTAAACATATAACTCAACAACAGAAATGACCTCAGTGGGTCCCAATATAACCAGCATATGCCTAAGTATGATTTCCAACATGAGTCAGAACTCAGTTTCTCTAACACATGAAAAATACATGGAAAATAACAAGTTATTTGGCTACATAACTCCATGGAATCGATTGAGTCACAATTTCTACGGTGCACGTCCACACTCTCATCATCTAGCATGTGTGTCACCTCCACACCAATCACATAACACGTATATTCTGGGTTCATACCCTCAACATCAAGTTTAGAAGTGTTACTTACCTAGAACATGCCGAATCCAATATCGAGCAAGCCAAACAATACTCTAGAAATTCCATTCCGCACATATCAACCTTTGAACGGCTCAAAACTAGCCAAAAGCAACTCAATTACATCAATTAACGCCTAAGGAAACAATTCCAAATAATAAAGGTCGAATTTATAATTACAACCCCAAAGTCAACCAAAAGTCAACACGGGGCTCACATCTCAGAACCCGACGAAACTCACAAAATCTGATAACCCATTTAGTTACGAGTCCAACCATACTAGTTTCACTCCAATCCGATTCCGAGCCAATGTTCAAAACTCAAAAATTCTTTCAATGAAATTATAGAAAATTCCTCCGGTTTCTCTTTAAAAATCAAAATCATACACCAAAAACAAAGATTAATTCATGAAATATAATTAAAACCGACTAGAGGACACTTATCCCAATCCATATGGTGAAAATCGCCTCAAAAATCGCTTCAATCCGAGCTCCATAGCTCCAAATATGTTAAAATGGTTGAAACCTCCTAAATTTGATGTTTTAATGCACTTCCAGGGGTTCCTCTTTGTGATCGCGATCCCTAACATTGCAATCGCGATTCAAAAAATATTCCAGCTCAACTTTTACCATTCGCAATTGGGAACATTCCCCCGCGATCGCGATGAATAATTTCCAACAAACTTGCCCAACTCTTAGGGATAACCTCTAGTATAATGGTTGTAATGTTTTGTACAAAACTCCAAATAAGAAATGGTTTGATTTTCTAAAAACTAGACACTAAGGGCTACAATTTTTATTTTTGGATCATCTCCAAATTTCTTACAGATTGCAAGCTATAAGCTTTCAAAATCGAGACAGTGACAACAGGTTTTCCTCTACGCGATCACAAAAAGCCTTCCGCGATCGCGATTCACACGCCCATTTCCCCCATTTTTCTCTTTGCGAACGCGACCCAAGGTCCGCGTTCACAATGCACTCTGCTGTAACCAAAAACCATCAATTAAAAATGGACTAGAAATGGTCCGAAACCACCTCGAAACTCACCTGAGCCCCTACAGATCCCGTCCGAACATACCAACAAGTCTCAAAACATATTACGGATCTACTTGAGACCTCAAATCACGCATAACAATATCGAAAAGATGAATCACACCTCAATTCGAACTTAAAAACATTAAATTTTTCAACTTCCATTCTCGTGCGGAAACATATCAAATCAATCCGGATGTAAGGCCCCATGAAAACTTGTACTCGAAACTTAAAAGCTCGTAGTGCCAACTTACGAATATGTGTTAGGAATGTGTGCGATTTGAACCCTTTGTACTGATATAAGCTTTTAAAAATCAAGAATCAAAGTTTTCCAGAAAGTGCTATTATGCGGTCTAGAATGCGGTCGCAAATCAAGTATGCGGACCGCATTTCTATCACAAAGTGAGTCAGTGTGTTAGTCAAATTTGAGGTCAAAATGCGGTCCATTATGCGATCGCATAACTGATATACGGACCGCATAGTCGTCGCATAATCATCTTGGAATTTTGTAAAGGGCAGTTCTGCGGTGCATTATGCGACCGCAGAACGGGTATGCGGACCGTATTTCTGCCGCAAACCCAGACAGAAGGATCAGATTTTTGGAGCACTTTTGCGGTCCATTTTGCGGGCCGCATTTCCACTTTGCGATCGCATACCTGACTCGGGGCTCCAATTTTCTAATTTTTAAACCCGACCCCCCTATCAATATATTCGATATTATAGCTCATTTTAAGCATATCTTCTGAGACTTTTAGAGAGAGAGAGAGAGGGTCTTAGAGAGGGAAAGTGTCTCCCATCAAATTCTCCTTGAGCCTTGCTAAAACATTGAAGAAAATCAAGGGAAAACACCTAAATTTTTCATTCCCAAGAGGTAAGATTCATCACCTCAGCTCTTATTTCTATACTTAACTATAAGGGGTCAGTAGTGAAGTAATTTATGAGTATAAGAATGAAATTCTTGCATG